ATTGGTGTTTCGGGGCCGATAATTGATTTTATCATGACAAATTTAAGAAACTAACTAGGCTATAGACACTGCCAATTGTGTCATCTAATCATCTTCAACTAAATGTACCAGTGAGTCGCCAGGACAAAAAGACAATCAGATACTACTTTTCACAATCTGAACACTCGTGTCCAAAGTATTGGGTAGAGAGCTCATAAATGATTTAATTATCTGATTACAAGAAAAATAAAACTGCCTATTTTCGTCAAGGTCTCATGATATGCATTTTTAATATTTGTAATTTTCGATTTGCTCGGCCTCTTGTTTATTCACTTAATTTTTCCATTGCTAATATTATAAATTTTATCATTTATACGGAGAACCGAACTTCCTGGCGCTTCTATTTCGTTGTATAACGAGTTTAACAAGGGGTTCTGATAAGCAGACATTGAATAAACCAAACACTAGATATAATTGACATTTTTATGTTATCTGGTATTTTGAATTCGGGCGTTTGAATATGCAAATTAATTTCTTATTGCGAGCGAAAACACACTTTTTCTCAAAGAAAGCGAGGTAGTACTGCTTTTATTTTTTGCTAAAATATTTACAGTAGAAGACCTTTCACAATCCTCCGTTTTCATATTTTCACATCTCCAACCTAGTGCCTATTCATAAACATATATTCTATTTTATTAGATGTAACCATTGTGATACAGCTTACGCTTCTCATAAGGGTTAGATATTTCGTTTATTATACATATTTGGTTATACCTATCACATCCTAGCTACTGGGAAAAAATACTGCAAGTATCACATTACTGTTGCCATTATCATTTTAACTTACTATTGTATAGTTGCCCATATGCGTTTAATAGTGTAATAAGCTTATTTAAATTCGCCTGCATCCTGCGCTTCTAACAGGTGCGATGCTCAGGTATTGATTTATAGAGGTAAGTGAGAACTAAAAGCCAAATTTATCGTAATGAAATGTTTAGGCCTCAAGATATAATCACATTTTCAAAGTTTTTCCTTGGCCTCATCAACTCCTAGATTTGTGTGCGTAAAGCGGAAACTCGTTGCTTTCCACTACGTGCCCACGGTTGTCAATTAATCACGGGGCAGATGTTACTTTCAAGAGACTGTTAATTAAGAAAACTCATTTTCCAATTGAATCGACCACTACTAAATTGGGAAAGGCTAGGTTTTGAAAATATCATTAGAGCTTGAATAAGAACTTTCGCTTATTTCACTTTTCATCCGGTAATCTATTTACACAAGGATTACGAGGATGCAGAGGCTCTTTTGGACTCATCTAATCTGGATTTCGAAGAACTGCAAAATTTCGCCCGCGATGCTGCCTCGTTTGCTACACACGGCGCCCTCTCACGCCTTGAGTTTGCTTTGAATGCTCGTGGCCAACCGGATGTAGCCGTCTTCGACTTTACGCGCATGTTTGCTGCAATGCATGCGAGTCGGATATTGGAAAGTCGCAGTTTTCGTCTTCTTCAAGTTCTTGTGGGTGACAGCCTTCTTGAAGTAAGTTTATACTTGCTTTTTTTTATCGACATACGCCATAGCAACTAATCAACAGATAATCTTAATCTATTTGACCTGCATTGTCGGGACTGATAAATAAGTTAATAGATGCATGCGCAAATAAATGAAATATGTTATAAGATAATATTACAATAATAATATAATATTTATAATATTATTAATATTTTATCTTGTTGACTTGTTTGAAAATTTGTTCTCCTAGGATTTATACGTTTTTAGGCATTATTGTGTGAAGCATGTCAACTGGAAATATCTATATGATAGTTAAATTAGGAAACCATCGCCTACGCTTTAGCAGCTAACTGCTATTAATAATATAAATAAGGCAGAAGCTTCTT